AGCAATTCCAGGCACCTACCCACCGAGCCACTCCAAGCACTTACCCACTGAGCCACTCCAAGCACCTACCGACCGAGCCATTCCAAGCACCTATTCCGGCCGAGCCACTCCAAGCACTTGTACCGACCGAGCCACTCCACGCATCTACTGACCAAGCCACTCCAACCACATGTACCGACCGAGTCATTCCAAGCACCTACCCACAAATGTCGTTTTCATTGAGTCGGTGAAACTTCTACAGATTCTCGGGATGTTCGAGCAAACGTGTCCTCAGCACGGGAAAGATGTGGAGGTGACGATCACGAAGATACATAATCCATGTCACATTTGCAAGTTGCAATTCGAGTGTGGGAAAGGGTGTACTTGGCACTGGAGTTCCACGAAGGTTGTTTCACCGTGTGGGGTGAGAAATTCGAGGGTGGAGACTCAATTGTTCTACTCCACTTTGACTGCGGGAATGACTTACACTCAATTGAATAACCTCCTACGGGGCTTAGGGATGAAGAAGGTTAGGAAATAAACTTTTTATATTTTTTTCCGTGATGACGGCCCAGGTTCCCGACAGTGGCTGCGACACGTCGAATGGGTAACGCAAAAGAGCTTCGACAAGGTCATCGCGAGATTGCGCAGGTCGAACAATCCGGTCGTCGTTTTGGTGGACGGGCGTTACGATTCGTCTCGTGACGCTCAGCATTGTACGGCGACGGCGGTGGATTTAAAGTCAGGAATGATCGTGGAGACGGAGACCATGCTCCGGGGGAGCAAGTCGTCGTGGAAGCTGGAAACACTGTGTGTGGAGAAACTGTTTCATCGGTTGAAGGATGAGGAGAACCTCATAATCGCAAAGGTTGTGCATGATGATTGTGGCGCGGTTGATGTCATATTGCAGCGAATGAACATTGACTCGCAAAAGTGTATGTGGCATAAGGCGAAGACTTTTGTCAAACGCTTGCGAGAGGCTATGCGCGGCACGAAGACTGTCAAACCAGCTGTGGTCGGGGCTTGCGAGCATGTGCACGAGGTGAAGTGTTTCACAATGAAGGAGCTCGAACTTTGGCTCGAAACGAAATGTGTCCGCGTGGCAGGGGTGTCCATGAAAAAAAAGGATGAACTCGTTGAGATTGTTTGGGGTGTGCTCTTCCTCGACGAACCAGGGAAGGCGTTGCCAGATGATGTCGTCGAGATCGATGCGTTGCAAACACTGCATTGCAATGCGGCGGAGGAGGTGAAGGAGTGGTTGTACGGCGCTTGCAGGCTGCGCGAGCGCGCAAGGGATGACGATGGCGATGTGTTGGCCACTCATATGCAACACCTCGCCAATCATTGGGCCGGGGATCATTCCCGTTGCGATAAGGAGTTGTCCAACCTGTACAAAGCAGCCGGTGGTCTGGACAGAGAGCCATTGTACGAGGCGGGGGGACGTGTTCATTTGGCCATCTCGCGGTGTCTTGAACAGTTCACTTCAAATATGAAGATGGTGTACTACACACGTGCGAGGATGATCTTCAACAACGAGTATTTCCACTCCATGATCAACAAGTACTGCACGAAATGCCTGAACTTCCCCAAATCGTATGAGGCGCACGTCTGTTGCACCGCTTTGGAGTGGAACAAAAACAAACGATTGCGCACAGTCTTCCGCAAACCGACAAACGTAACCCATCGACGTCGCTCTGCACGACAGCATATATACGCCGCCCGGGATACGTTGTGAGGAAACCCAGGGAGGGGCGTCTACCGTTCGCTGAGGCCAAGGGCAACAGCGCCTGTCACTCGTTGCGCCCACATCAGAGGTCCTCAGCGGTCGGTAGGGAGATGAACGTATGTTTGCCTGTCACTATCTTTCCGCGAAGCGAGTTCGAAAGCCCTTTTCCACTGTGCTGCAAATTTAGAAATAAAATAATCATCATCCTTAAATATTCCATTTCAAGAGTTATTTTCAGTGCACGGCAGATTCAAAAGCGAAATTATACCAATTCAGTGTATTCCGCTTCTATCCGATCCAACATACATCAACGCTTGTCGTCATAACGAACAGCTCTCTCTTTAGTGGACAACGGCAACTGCCATTGTGCTCAACTGACCATTAGTGTTTCACTATGCCCCCATGAATGCTCGGTTTAATAATTGGAAATGTACCCCTTTGCCGCTGAGATGTTCAGAATGAGCCGTCTTTACTGGTGAGGGTAGGCTGGCAAATTGAGCACTTTCATTTTCCATTCACTCAGTGCAAATGCATCCGGCAACGCACGTGACCAGGAGCGTCTAATGAGAGGTCTCTTTTTTTTTTTTTGTAACTAATACTAATAGTACAAGCAGAAATTATGAAATGGTGCCTCGAGAGACCTCTCTGTACTCGGAGTCGAATGCAGTGGAGTGATCTCATCACCTGCGGAGTGACCCGCTTCACAACCAGCGGTAATGCCTGTGTACTTCTGCAGCGGCAAGCATGATCTTGTCATTAACCAAGTGGTCCGCTTCATAACCAGCGGTAATGCCTGTGTA